TAGTTTCTTCTTTAATTTCATCTGTAATCCATTCATTGTTCAGGAGGGTTCTGTTTTTTGTTTTTTGGTGTTTTTTTTTTTTGGTGCAAGGGATCGAACCCGGGACCTTGCACTTTAGAGGCAGGCAGCAGAATCACTGAGCTAAATCCCCGGCCCTCAGGAGGGTTTTTTAAATTTCTGTGTGTTTATGAAGTTTTGGGAGAGTCTTTTGCCATTTATTTCCAATTTCATTGCACTATGATCTGATAATATGCATGGGATAATTTCAATTCTGTGCATTTACTTAAGCATGTTCTTTGAGCTAGTATGTGTGCTTTTAGTTAAAAATAGCAGAAAACTCAATATAAACTATTTTAGGAACTAAAGGGGATTTATTGGCTTATATAAGTGGAAAAATAGAGATAGAGTGGGCTTTAAATATGATCCATCAACTAAATGTTATTCTTAAGAACTCATTTCCCTGTGTTTTGTTATCATAAGGAGGTATCTTACCTAAAAGATACCATGCAGCCTGACCAAGTTCTTTTCATTATTGTTATCATTTATTTTTCTTGATTTTCTTGTTTTGGACAATGGACCCTTAAAGTATGCATGATGAAGAAGAAATATTTTGCAGAGAGTAATTCCAAAATGTCACTCTACCTTGCATAAACCCAAGTCAAAGATTCTAAAAGTGTTTGGGTTTCTCCCCAACCTTAACATGGTTCCAATGTTTTCTTTTATAACTGCCTTACTGCATCAGAATTGTATGGGTCTAAAAGCAAATGAAGTAAAGATCAAAGGTAAATGGCCTCCCACTGGCTTTTCATATCATTCTGAGAGAAATGACACCCAAGCAGACACACTGTTGGCTTTAGAGACTTTTCCCTCCATACACAGTTATATGAAGAGAGACTGACTACTCTCATGTTTTCAAAAGAGAAATAATTTTTACATTTTTCTCATGCCTGGGATTCTCTTAGCCACTTTTCCTCCTAATTGCTTTCCTCTAGATACAGATGTATCTATTAGCTTGCTTGCTTTCTCTCTTTCTCTTTCTTCTTCCCCTCCTCCTATCTTGTCTGTTTAAAATGCAGAAAAAATTAAGTTCATTTAAAGTGCTTTTTAAAAAATTTTAATTTAAAAATTAAGCAAACTGAAAAAAAACTAGACCTATTTCTTTTAATAGAGAACCTGGAGACCAATTGAAACCATAAAGTCAGTCAGCCAATAGACAGGATATGAAAATCTTTCTCCAAACTGTAATAAACTAGAACTGCACATGTGTTGCATATTAGATAGCCCTTAGGCAGAAGGAGATGCACACATGCCATCTAGTTTGCACTTAAATGAAGCAATATTAATGAGTCACAGCTGGTTAAAGGTAATGGTAATAAACTAGCACTCCACAATTAAGAGTTCCTGAAATCACTAGCCCCTTGGGAAAGGGTTTAGTTCATACACAGTTCTGACTCTAGAGTTGTGCAGAAGCATCTATCTACACTCATGTAAAATAACACTTAGTTTATGTTTGTATTTGAGCAATTATAATGCAAAGTAGCATAAATCAATCCCAGAAGTTCCCCAAAACTTTTCCTTTATGAAGTGCTCTGAACATTACTCAAATTTGAGAAAAATAAATGGCCGTGGGCACTTCCTCATTGGTGATATGGCTGAATTCAGACATTATTCTTAATTCCATCATCTTCAGATTCCCAATGGTGTGCAATACCAGGAAATTACCTGGTATACATATAGAGTGAGTTTCAACTCAATCCAAAGAGTAGAGCAGCTCTGCTTTATCTGCTTTGGCCCTTGGCTTTCTTTGTAAGATATTACAGTAGAACCTTTTGTTTGCGAACAATTTGGTTTGCAAACAGTAGCATTTGGCAAAATTTTGTTTTTGTCTGCAAATTCTGCATTAGGTGATGAACATGACCATGGCCATCTTTCTCAAATGAACACAAACACTGTCATCTCTTCCAGAATCATGGAACAAATGAAGTTCGTAAACTGAGGCACAGTACCACTGTACTTCAGATTTTTTTTTTTTGGTACTAGGGATCCAACTCCGGTCCTTGCGCTTGTGCAGCAGGCGGCAAAACTAAGCTAAATCCTCGGCCTCTCAAATTTTTTTTAAACTAACGCAATATACCATAGTACCATGTTAGTTTTATAAAATTTTGTATTCTCTAGGCTAGAACAAGTAGAACAGACTAGAGGAATAACTACATGAGTTTCTATAGTTCAGATCTTAAGGGTCCCTCAAAGGCCTATGGTGACCAGTTTGGGAGGTGGTGAAACCTTTAAGAGGTAGGGCCCTGTTTTACATCTTCAGTTCACTGCAGGCATGATCTTCAAGGAGATAGTGGGGCCCTGGCTTCTTTATCTTCTTTGCTTCCTGGCCAAGAGGAAGTGGTTTTGCTCTGCCATGGCTTCCTTCCATGACTTGTGCTGCTGTGACACAGACCCAAAGTCAATAGAGCCATCAGATCATGGACTGAGGCCCTCAAAGCTGTGAGCCACAGTAAGCTTTTCCTCTTTTAAAGTTGATTTTCTTAGGTATTGGTTATGGCAATGAAAGTTAATACAGTACATGTGTTAACTTCAACGGGAGTTAGCTTCTAAGAGGAATGATCTCCAAATGCCCAGTCATTTTAGGGAACTAATGTCATCAGTCCTCTGATATATTATTATGTGAAGAGGACATGCAAGATTTGTTTGCTGAAAGAGGACATGCAAGATTTGTTTTGCTGTAGTGGCTTTTTTGCACAATAAACCAGGGAATTGAACACCTTAAGCTTGCCTATATTGCAGTTTTATGGGCTCTTTCCCCATGGTTTGATACAATAAATGCCATTTTAATTTTTAGCTGATAGGAGGAATTCTTTTACTCCCACACTTTTCCTAGCACCCAACATTTCACACACTTACTTCCTTTGGATTTTATGATGACCAGATTTGAAAACTGACAATGAAAGCATTTTGCTATATAAAGAGGAGGAGCTCTTGGAATTTCTAAGCAACAAATTCATCCTATGGCATCTGAGTAACAACAAAGCGGGAAGCATTTTGCTAGAATGAAAGGGTGACCTGGCCCCTGATCTTAGGGAATGTATGGTTTAAATGCAAAGAGAGATACTATATAAGTAGTTACAAAACTTAGTGTATAATTACAAAATATTATAAATATTATGAAGCGGCAGTACAGGGAATGATGAAAATGTATCACAATGGAATTATTCTAATTTGTAGGAGTCATGGAGGTACCATTCACAAAGACATTAAACTGCGTATGATAACCAAGCTTAATCAGAAATATCATGGTTCCTTTTTGGGTAATCCAGGTTTGAGACAACCCAACAGGGAAGTACAATACACACTAGGATACATGGAAAAGTCTGGATTGACAGTATAAATTTAAGAATCCTAGGTCATTAGATGAGAAGCTGGAAGTGAAAATGAATTTAGAGGAAAGAGGGACTGTAATGAGTTGCAAGAAATTCCAGCATTTAAAGATTTGAGAGGAGATAAACCGGCAAAGATTTAGGAGTCACCGATGACAGAGGCAGCTCTGCCTGGAAACTAAGGAAGCTTCATATTCTGGGTCCTTCTTTTCCTTGACAGAAAACTTACCAATGCATTTATATGGTCACGTTTTTTAAAAAATTTCAAAAGATACCCTTTTCTTTTCTTAAATGGAAGGACCAAATCCCAGAGGGTTTGATCACTTGAAACTGAAGGTCGGGTGGGTTGGGGAGGGATGAAGGTCAGAGGCTCCAAGAAAAGTGTGTAACAGCTTTGAATGCTTGAGAGGATGACTATGGGAAGAGAAATACACCCACCGGGTAGTTAGCGGAAGGCCATCAGTGTCCATAGCAAGAACCCTGTCAGGGCAATGAAAGGGTAAAAAAACCAGATGTAGTTGCTGCATAAATTTGAGAAATGTAATTGTGAAGGGAGGGGAAAGGGTGGTAGGTGGAGAGGGAGGAGCTATGGAATAAGGTTACCTTTCCCCCTCGTTTTCTTTTTTTGTGTTTCTTTGTCCCAAAAATGGGGAGACTTGAGAGTGCTGAGGGGGAGATTACACAAAACAGAGATGTTTTGAAGAGAAAAGGGAAAAGATAAACCAGAATGAGTGTCCCTTCATCCTAACAACATTTTCCTTTTCATAGGACTCAAGTGATGAATAACCACAGACTCTAATGCAATCTTGAGTTTTATGTTCCTGGTAGGCAGCTCTACCCAGAGCCATGTCTTGGTCTGAGGCACTCCTTCACCCAGGGAACTGAGTTTATTTCACTCGACAGCCATCTGCCAGCAAATATTTTGCAGTTTTCTGAAAATATCCATTTAAATGCTTTAATTAGTTTCTCTCTAAAACATTTATTTTATAAGCTGCTTCTCCCCTTAAATATTTGTTGTATGTGGGAGAAATGCAAACTGATTGTAACAGAACAAAATTACAGGTCTGTCAAAGAAAAAGTTTTATTTAGACTGCTAAACTAGATCCTTTTAAATGTTTAAAATGGCACTTCTCACTATCCCTTGATTATATACTCTAATATAAGACATAGGTATTGAAAAGTAGCAATCTTTTTTCAGGAAGAATTTGAGACTCACAAACAAAACATCAGAAAAACAATCTTACGTGGCACAAAATAGAAATGAATGGTAGGAAGGAACTCTGAACATTGTGTGCGCACTGTTTTTGCATTTTACATGGCTCATCAGGTTATAATGCATATTTCTGCACTAAGAGCTACTTAGAAAGTGAGGATGGTGCCCCAGGCCCTGCTCTTCATCACCCTACCATACCTCAGGGCCCCCGCAGCAGGCAGCAGGCCACACAACAGTCTGAACAGCTAGCACCGCTCCCACTGGCTGCTAGGTCAACAGTACCACCACCCCGGACTGCCGGCTATGGGCAACGCTGGCCACACGGCCCTTTTCCGGTATATCGTCCAGCACATCGCAGCGGACCCTTCACTGACCCACCCGCCCCGCTCGTCCGGACTCACTGCGCGCCCAGCGCCCCATCCTTGCTCGGTCCATCACGCGGCCGCGAGCTGCTCCGAGACCCCGGACGGCAGTCGCCGCCGAGCTCCCTGATTGGCCGAGCGGGCCCGCCGCGTGCCCTGATTGGCCGGGCGCGTTACGCTCCCGCAGCCTGGCCGCCGACGCCGCAGCCCGGGTCGCGCGAGTGCGGCGCGGGGAGGGCGAGGGGCCGGGCGGACGCGGGCGCGCTTTCCCGGTCTCGCGCGGCGTGTACGCGCCCGCCCGGAGCCGCTCGCCGCGCCGTTACTCCGGACAAGGACCGCGCAGGCAGGGCGCCGGCCGAGCCCTCCGCCCCTCGCGTCGCCGCGAGCCGGTAAGAGGCCGCGCGCCGCCAGGCTACAGGGTCTGAGCGTCGTCCCTCCTCTGCGGCCGCCTCCCTCTCCCGCCAGGCCGCCTTTGTGCCCGGCCCGGCGGCGCCGCGCGATGCTCTGGCCGGGCGTGGCGGGCGCGGAGGCCGCGACTCCCGAGTGGGCCGGGCCGGCGGGAGAGGCCGCGCCGGGGCAGCGCAGCGGGGACGGGCGGGCGGGCTGAGGCCCGGGGCTTCCTCCAAGTGGTCGGAGGACAGGACCGCGACCGAAGGGCCCGGGAGCGGCGCCCTCTCGCCCCTTCCCTGCTGGCCAGCGGCCTTGCCGGAGACGTCCCGGGGTCGCCCCTAAAACAGCAGGCGACGCTTCGGGGGACGAAGCCTTTACAGATGAAACGTGGTTGTAGGTGCATTTTACAGAACTTCTGTGAGGGGCAAGTCACCAAAGTTTGTATAAGGTGCTTTCCTTCCTAATAGAATTTAGGTAAACAATTGCATTTAAAACCCTAATGAAAACGTGAAGTTATTTGGCTTGAATTTCTGATGCAGAGCTCGCCATAAATGCACCTGTGCTTTGTGTGTCACTTAGGTAAAGTTCGTTTGGAGGGCTTAACTCCTCTTCACTTGTCTTTTTTTTTCTTTTTTTGTACGGGGGATCGAACTCAGGTCTTTGCACTTGCAAGGCAAGCGGCGGAACCACTGAGCTAAATCCCCGGCCCTTCACTTACCTTTCTTATCCCTACTTCTTTTGTTAAAAAAGTTGATGATGTTCTCATACTATTGCTGTAGATGGTGTGTCTACTGAGTCCCTCACGTGTGTTCCTTTCTTCCTTGGCCCCTTTCTATAAACTTTTCATCTTCTCTTTCTTTTGCTTTTCTTTCTCACTTTAACCACACTCCATTTCATTACTGAAGGGTGATCATTGTGCCTTGGAAAAGGAGAAACGTTTAATATTCCCAATTCTATCACACAGACCATTAGTGTCCCAACGTTTTGGGTTGCTTGCACCACTTTGAAGAGGAATTGTCTTGAGCCACATAGAAAATGTAGGATGTAGTTTTTATATATAAGTAACAACACTTCCTTTACTTTTAAATACTTTTGTAACATCAAACACACAAGTCTAACAATAAATTTTAAGAAAACTTACATATCAGTTTAATAACATCAAATGTCTTCAGATACTCAGACGTGTAAGCAGGTTGAAATACTGTTATTGGTAATCCCTGAGTTTATCCGCTAAGTTGCACAAGCACACGTAATGTCTGGTGCAGGTAGATTTCCGCTGGACTGTGTGGCAGGATCAGGAGTGGAGTTAGCACTGCGCTGTGCCCACCCCTGCATAGAATTTGGTGGTCACCTCTGCAGTCTATGTTTAAGCACAGTACAACGGAGTCAAGAGAAACTCCACTAAAAATCACTTAATGTTAACGTGGGGTCTTGTGGGGATTCATTACTAACTGTCCAGGGCCCCATGTGGCCACGGGTGGGTCTAGGGCTGGTCACGCCTGACATAGATGTTGCTCTGTTTGACCTTTAAAGGTGTCTTCGTATTCAGGTGCCTTTTAAGTGTAGGTGTAACATGAGAGTAGAAGCAGTTGGTCCTCCAAGTTCTCTGTGTTTATCTCTGCAAGTTGGAGGTGCTGAGAGAGATCCCAGGAAGTCTTTGAAATGTCATTTTGCCTTGAATCAGCAGCCCCAGTTGGCATTTCAGTCTTCAGTTGATGGGGTGGGGAGCTCTGCTTCATAAATGAGAAGAGGCGGGCCCATTGTCTAGGTTGAGATCGAGATTAAGGGATGTAGACCCTAGAAGGAGAATGAATTGGTTGGAAAGTAACTGTCCTGATGTAGAAGTCAGTTATTGTTCACGATTGCATCCCAGATCTGACAAACGTAAACTTGACTCGGCTTGAGTTGCAGGTTAGCTCCGTTTTGTGCAATATGTCCAGTGTACCTGAATTTCATCAGATATTTTGAGGCAGAGTTGTCTTATGGGATTGCACATGCCCCCAAATATGCTGTAGCAAACAGTTCATCTCCCAGAGAGAAATGCTGCGTTTTAAAGTGAAGAAACAGATGACTTCCCAGTGAACCCAGGACTACTTGATGGTACATGTGAGTGATGATACATTTCCCAATTTTGTGCACTTTTGAAAATAGATGTTTAGGGGCCAGGATTTACCTCGGTGGTTCTGGCACCTGCTTCGCAAGCACAAGGTCTGGAGTTCGATCCCTGGCACCAAAAAAAAAAAAAAAAATAGACGTTTAGCCCAAAGTAGGATTTTATTTGCCATAAATTGTTTTATACATTGTCAACTTCGTGCTTATAGCAAAAGTATTATTTCTCTTGTAAATTAGTGTTGTGCATAGGAGATCATTTACATATACTGTATAGAAGAGGTTTGGTATGGTAAAATTTATGTGTCGTAATTAAATAATTTTAGTAGGGTTCCATGTATGGTGAGAAATAGTATATATTTCCATATAAAGGAAATTAATGGTAAGTAATCTGTTGCCTTCCTGTGAAATAGTTCCAGAAAAGTCTGAAATAGTTGCTCACTTAATAGGTAGTAATAAGTGGATTAGGAAGTAGTTTGCATTGGACTTGGTAGTAGGAACACAAAATAAATATGCTTTTCTGGAAGCTTACTGTATTGGGAAGATGTACATATAGGGAAAAGAATGGAAAGATTTTACATACAGTAAAAGTTACAGGGATTCTAAGAAAGTAGATCGACATAGCGTCACTTGTTTTTAGGTCAGAGGAGGAAAATGAGAGCCTCTCCCCCCCACTTTGGTATGAAATTACAGCTCCTGTCAGTGCTTTGCATTGAGAAATGGGCATGGTCTTGGGGAAGAGGCTGGGAAATGGGTGAGCAACAGGAACTGGGGGAGATTTCAGTGTGTATTTTCTCAAATGGCATAAGGGTTTGTCCCCAAGGGAGGAATTAGGCCGAGGAAGGGAAAGTGGTAGAGCCGTGAAGTGTAGGCTGAGTATTGGCTTCCTTTTTCAGCCTTCTCCTTTCTGAGACTCACCAGAAGCACTTCACATGTCCCTTCCCAGTCAGTAGTCTCTTCCAGGGAGCTGTGGCCTTTTGTACATACTGAAAATTTTTCCAGGCTCTAACATTATCCAGTTCCAAAACCACTTTCATATCTTTTAGGTATTTGTTATAACAGCAGCCATTTCTTGGTACCAAAATTGGTTTTTGTTTCCTAGAGCTGGCCCACAAAGTACCATAGAAGATGAGGCGACAGACATGGATTTTGTACTCTTAGGGGGCTTAAGTCTTAAAACAAGAAACTCTGGGACTTGTTTCTACTGAAGCGTCTCTCCTGGGCTTGCATATGGTGGTCTCTGCTTTCACAGCGTCTCCTCCCTGTGTGCCTGTGGCCTCATCTCTTCCTTCTGTGGATGCAGCATTCACAGTGGAGTAGGGCTCACCCCAATACTCTCGTTACTTCACAGACCCTTTCTCCATGTACAGTCACATTCATAAGAATTTGGGGTGATGAGTGGGCACCCAGTTCAGGCCATAATAAAGTTCTTTTTTGGCAGTACTTGGGATTGAACCCAGGAGCCTGGGCATGGTAGGCAAGCCCTGGACTACAGAGCCAGCTCTGGGCTATAGGCTGCTGAGAGCTGAAAGACTGGGCTGGTTCAGAGTAAGGCAGGGAGGTCAGGGGACCCCACTGTGGTCCTCTAGCGTGGTTGTAATTTGATGCTTGGAAATAAAGGGAAACTGGCCTTTAAGGAAGAGTGCATTTTATCTTTGGCCCTTTTCTTTCTCTAGGTGTTCACTGTCTTGTGCTTCTTGGGCCCTTTATTTTCACGGACATAGCATTAGTTTTCTAGTGTTTTATAGATGTATTCTAACTTAAAATATTTCTTCTTTCAATAAATAATATGTTAAATTTGGTAAAGATGCTATGTTAGTGTTGGAAACAATAGTTTTTGTGTCTGATTAAAACAACAAAATTTGTACTTTAAATTACATTGATTTAAAAACTCCATGTCCTGTGCATGTTTTGTGGGCCAATATTTGGTGTAATCTTCTTTCCTCCGCCTGGGAATTTTTCCCTGTTTTGGAAAAATATAAGGTTAGAAATATAAGCTGTCATACATAATAAAATAGAAAGCTTCTTTTAGATGTTGAAATTATATTTGGTAAGTTAGAGAATGTTAAGCCATTCTTCAAATTCTGACCACATGACTTACTTAAAGTAAAATGAGACTGAACATCTTCCATGTTTTTTTCTTCCTGTCTGCCTTTGGTGTTTGAATTTGTTTTAGCCATATCTAATCTATTTTTTCTGTTTAGCTTTGCTTGTATCTCCAAAAGCTATACTCATTGTTATTTTCTAGCAAACTACTTGACCTTCAGATCTAAGATGCTTTAAATTAAATGCACAAGAGGAAAGTGAGAGAGGACATGTGTAAGAAACAGGAAAACCAAAAACATCAACTACACACATGCCTGCACGCAGGCATGCACAGTCTTAAGGAATTACTTCCTTCGGTTTTGTTGACAATTTAATTTTGGTAGTTTTAATAGGAATGGGATTGTTGTTTACCATTTACTCTATTTTTTTACATTCATCTATTATTGGTGATCAAAAATATAATTGTACCTTTTAGTAACTTTTTGATCAGAAAACTAGAATATTTTTTAAAGTATGGAAGACACAGACAAGGGTAAAAAAAGACAAAAAAATTGCCTGTAATTCTATTATCTGTATAAGACACCCCCCCAAAAAAACCATGCCACATATTTTGGAAATGAGGACTCTTCAATTGTTTGCTGCGACAAATAAGCATAGCTGTTTATCAGTAGATAGCATAGATAGGTTGCCTTTTTCAGTGAGGACAAATGGATAGGACATTATTCAACAGCCTTAAATTTTCAATTGACACAAGCAGCATTTGTTCGAAGCAATGTCTCTTGACTTTTGCAGAGCTATATAAAGCTTACCACATGACAAGAGGTCTTAAAAATCTAGATCTCTG